GTATTTTTCCATCATGCTGGAAGACAGCTAGAGTTCAACCAATCCCCAAAAAAGGGAACAAGAACCTGCCCAACAACTACAGGCCCATTGCCCTGTTATCAGTAATCTCCAAAGTGATGGAGAAAGCCATCAATATTGAGCTCATCAAATATCTGGAGAGCTCAGGAATCATCAATGATAGACAATACGGCTTTCGCCACCGAAGATCCACTGGAGATCTACTTGCCTACGTCACCCATTTATGGCAATCTTCAATAGAAAAACACGGGGAATCTCTAGCTGTCGCGTTGGACATATCGAAAGCATTCGACCGTGTTTGGCACGAAGGACTCCTCCACAAACTACCATCATACGGCTTACCACCTCAGCTATGCCATCTCTTATCGAGTTTTCTTTCAGGCAGATCGCTTCACGTGGTGGTGGACGGTGTATCGTCTGATACCATTGGCATCAATTCCGGCGTTCCACAAGGATCAATTTTGGCACCAACATTATTCCTGCTTCATATCAATGATCTGTTGGGAGTAACAACTTGCCCCATCCACAGCTTTGCAGATGATAGTACCCTCCATACTGCTTTCTCTTCCAGAATTCCCATTTCTTCCCAGGAAACTAAGACCTCACGGCGCAGGCAGGTCAACGCTGTCAATGAAGATCTTGCTGAAATCACAGCCTGGGGAACAAACAACCTAGTTGAATTCAACGCCACCAAAACTCAAGCCTGCACTTTCTCTAGAAAGGCGGAACTCAGTATGCCCGATATTGTAATGTCTGGCTCCACCATCCCCACCAAGCCCACTATATCTATGCTCGGTATTTCCATCAGCAACACTCTTTCATGGGATAATCATGTCAGATCCATCGCAAAAGCTGCTTCCCAAAAACTCGGATTCTTGTTCCGTGCGAAAAGCTACTTTACACCTCAACAGCTTCTCATGATCTACAAAGCGCAGATACGGCCTGTTCTAGAATACTGTTCCCACATATGGGGTTCAGCACCAAAACATACGCTGATGCTCTTAGATTCCATCCAGAGAAGAGCCATTCGCTTGGTGGGTGACGCCACACTCACTCACTCTTTGACATCATTAGAACACCGTAGAAAGGTCGGCGACCTTTCACTTTTCTATCGATACTTCCACGGGAAATGTTCTTCGGAAATCTCTGCTATCATCCCTTCACTAGCAATACCAATCAGACGAACTAGACAAGCCCAGTCAGCACATCCTTTCGTTGTCAACCTCGAAAGATGTCGAACAGCACTTTATCAAGACTCCTTCATCCATAGAACGGCTAGGCTCTGGAATTCATTGCCTGTGGAAGTGTTCCCAACAACATATAATCTCCAAAAGTTCAAAAAAAATTCCAATACCTACCTCCTGTCCCTATCCTCCCTAGGAACGCACGATGTTCTTTGAACATTATAGGGATTCCCTCTCGTGCGCTCCAAGCGATAAAAAAAAAAAAAAAAAAAAAAAAAAAAAATCTGTTGTATTCTATTCAGTCACTGATGCCAAATTACCATGGCAAGTTACACGATCGAGCAGCAATGATCAAACTTTATTATCAAAATGAGTGTTCGTTAGTGCAAACGTTGCGCGCATTGCGGTTCGGTAAACAACCAACCAACACCCTTACGTGAAAGGAACACCACATCGGCCGATAATATCGACGCTGTCCGTCAGAGTGTGCAGGAGACTCCGAGGCAGTCGATTTCTCGCCGTGCACAAGAACTAGGCCTTTCGCAGACTTCAACTTGGAGAATTTTCCGCCGGGACTTGGGCCTGCACCCGTACAGGGTGATTGACTATGGATTTCTCGACTTCAACAGCTGATATCTCGAAAACGAAAAAAGATATTTGAAATTTGGAAAAAGGTACTTGAATGAGATGTCATTTCCTTCTAGAAAATGTGTTCTCTGCTTGATTTTATCATTTCATATACAGGGTTCGTGAAAAAAAATTTTTTTTTTCAAATGGAACCCCCTGTATATTATCGCATATTTCGAAAGACCTATCTTTCCTGATTTCGAAGATATATACTTTTCATATATTCTATCGAGGGCTTGACGAAATATCAGCAAAATTAAATATTAATATTTGGTCCAAGTTAGCTATGGTTGAAATAGAATGAGATGATGAATAAGTGAATTGACATTTGGTCAACATTCCAGTGACATAAGTGCGCAAAATTTCGACAATTTTTTCACGATGCCATATCCACTGGAACAAAGAAGAGATATTTTGGAGTGCTATTTTTCAGTTAATAAAAATCTTATACTTACTTAAATTTAATCTTTCAGATATGACAAGACAAAATTCAATCCGCTTCTCATTATCATCATAATTGAGTTTGTGGCATGGTCTGATTCTGAAATCCCTATATTTATATTTCCTCAAGGTATGTTGAACAAAATAATAGCTGAAACCAAACTCTCTCACTGCATTTCTTATTGACCGTGAAGGATGCTCAACAAAATACTGGATTACAAGAAGTCCCTCGTCTTCGTTGTCTTGCCTTCTCACTATTCTCTGGATATTCGACAAACTGGAAGTTCTGTCAAATTTAGCAGCCAAATACATTACATAATTCTTACTTGGTAATCTCCTGCCTGAATAACTCCTCATAAACTTATGAAGTGTTTCAGCAAGATTTTTATTAACTGAAAAATAGCACTCCAAAATATCTCTTCTTTGTTCCAGTGGATATGGCACTGTGAAAAAATTGTCGAAATTTTGCGCACCTATGTCACTGAAATGTTGACCAAATGTCAACTCACTTATTCATCATCTCATTCTATTTCAACCATAGCTAACTTGGACCAAATATCAATATTTAATTTTGCGATATTTCGTCAAGCACTCGATAGAATATATGAAAAGTATATATTTTTAAAATCAGGAAAGATAGCTCTTTCGAAATATGCGATAATATACAGGGGGTTCCTTTTGAAAAAAAAATTTTTTTTCACATACCCTGTATATGAAATGATAAAATCAAGCAGAGAACACATTTTCCAGAAGAAAATAACATCTCATTCAAGTTACTTTTTCCAAATTTCAAATATCTTTTTTCGTTTTCGAGATATCAGCTGTTGAAGTCGAGAAATCCATAGTCAATCACCCTACAAGATCCAACTGACCCAGCAGCTCAAAGTTAATGACCATAGGCAACGTCGTTTGTTCGCTCAGTGGGCTTCGGAACGTTTGGAAGACAACCCCGATTTTGGCCGAAAAATAATCTTTAGCGACGAGGCCCATTTTTGGATGAATGGTTTTGTTAATAAGCAAAATTGCCGTATATGACATTGGCGAGGCCATCACCGTCAATGGCGAGTGCTACAGATCAATGATTAACAATTTCTTTTGGCCTGAATTGCACGATATGGACGTGGACGACATGTGGTTCCAACAAGACGGCGCAACGTGCCACACAGCGAACGATACAATGGACATTCTGCACGAACGGTTTGAGGGTATGGTTATCTCTCGCAGAGGTGAATTGGCCGCCAAGATCGTGCGATTTCACTCCACTAGACTTTTTCTTGTGGAGTTTTCTGAAGTCGCAGGTCTATGTTAATAAGCCGCAATCGACCGATGCCCTGAAAGTGAACATAACGCAAGCCATTGCTCAGATTCAGCCGGATTTATGCAGCAGAGTCATTGAAAATTGGACCTCTCGGATCCGTGCCACCATTCGAAGTCGCGGCGGACAATGTCATATTCCATAAATAATGGCATAAATGGGCCATTTAAATAAAATTAAAAAAAATCGTTAATATCTCACACACAGCTGTTTTATTCAATTACAACATCGACCGGTCCTTGTTGAAAGACCCTTAATGTATATCCATTTTTACATTTTTTCATGTTCATAATTTATCTGAGGATATTTCTTTTCAATGCTTTCACCCAATCAAGGGGTTCAAACGTGAACGATGGAAACTTGTTATTTTTATAGAAAAATCGCAGATTCGTTATTAGGTTTTCTCAACTTAGAATTTCTTTCCAAGTCCTGAATGATGATTATCAATTTTTCATACATGCAAAAAGTAGAGTATCTTCGAAAATTGACTCAATATGATTTGCATTCGTTTATAGTTATATTTGTATTTACAGCGCGAAATGCTACTTTGGTTATCGAGATCTGATTTTCTTAACGAGGCGTAGCCGAGTTGAAATAATAGTCGAGATGACCAAAGTATTTCGCGCTCGAGTTGCAAACAACATTTACGTCAAACAATATAGTTCTAAAGTAAAAATATGCTTAGCTTGATATAAAAAATAGTGTTGAACTGGCTTAAAAGGCCTCCCCCTATCCTCCCTAGGTACGCACGATGTTCCACGAACATAATAGGAATTTCCTTTCGTGCGCTCCAAGAGATAAAACAAAGTTATTGTTGAACATTCAGAAATGAATGATTTCGTGGATGTTTGCTCGATTGAGGACCATAAAGTTGAAATATAAATATCTCATATATTTTACATAACAATGCGCGAAGTAGGTACTTCGCGCACTGTTTTACTTCGCGCATTGTTTTGTGCAAGGTATCATGGTAACGTAGGAAACTGAAAAAGACTGTCGCTTCGCAATTTGTTATCAATGCGCGAACCTTGTCCTTTGTTGACGTTTGTAGAAGAAATAATGTATTTCAGTTATGAACAGCCAAACAACTAAATCTAATACTTTTTTTTTCAAATAGGGCAATTTTTTTTTACATAAATGTAGGAAATTTTGTCCTCCTTAACTTTGTGTTGAACATCTTTTGTCGTGAAAGCCACAGTTTTTGAGTTATTATCAAATCCGATATGGCGGTTCGAGCGTATGTACTTAGAGGTCAAAATTTTGTATTTATCATTAGGGCCCCAAGCCTAACAACATACTATAAAATCGCTACTACCCCACCATTTGCATTCGAACACCCCTATTCGATAAACTGGACTGATTCCTCGCGACTCAGTTATAAGTATAGTCTTTTTGATCTGTTTCAACGATTTCTTCAAGATTTTTCAATTTTATTTCACGATATTCAAGATCTATATAAGTAACATGTTTGACAACACTGTCAAATTCACTCTTCACTTTGTGCGATTCAAATCTTCCTCATTGGAATATGTTTCATGGCAAATGTCACCCTCTTCTTCTTCTTTTGTTTTTATTAGTGTTTTGACTTCTTGCGGTGCCAATTTAATTTCATAATATTCAATTTCGTTATCACATTCTTGTTTGACAACACTGTCAAATTCACTCGTCACTTTGTGTGATTTAAGGTGTAAATTTGAATCTTCCTCATTGGAATATGTTTCATGGAAAATGTCACTCTCTTCTTCTTCTTTTGTTTGTATTGGTTTTTTGACTCCTTGCGGTTCAAATTTAATTTCAGAATACCCAATGTCGTTATCACATTCTTGTTTGACAACACTGTCAAATTCACTCTTCACTTTGTGTGATTCAGGGTGTAAATTCGAATCTTCCCCGTTGGAATATGTTTCATGGCAAATCTCACTCTCTTCTTCCTCTTCTTCTTTCGTTTCTATTGGTTTTTCGACTCCTTGCGGTGCCAATTTAATTTCAGAATACTCAATTTCGTTATCACATTCTTGTTTGACATCACTGTCAAATTCGCTCGTCACTTTGTGTGATTCGAGGTGCACAGAATGTTTCTCTTTTGAATAGTCCTTGTTGGGAAGCTTTTTCTGGGTAATCTCGCAGCTGGAAGAGCGTTCACGAGCGTGCATATTATTGTGCCTAGTCAAGACGTTCTTGAATGCAAACTTCTTGTTGCAAACATCACATTGGTAAGGTTTCACACCGGTATGTTGGTTTATGTGTTGTGCCAAAGTTCTCTTGAACGGAAACGTCTTGTGGCAGATATCGCATTGGAAAGGTTTCGCACCAGTGTGCAAAAAGTGGTGTCTGGTCAAACTGTGCTTATAGACAAACCTTTTATGGCATATGTCACATTCGTGGGCGTATGGTTTTTCGTCGTCGTGCATGATACTGTGCTTGTCCAAGTTCCATTTAGTGGTGAACTTTTTGTGGCATGTTTGACATTCGTAAGGCCTCTCACCAGTATGCAACATGGTGTGCTTGAACAAACCATATCCAGCGGTAAACTTCTGGTGGCAAATTTCACACTCATAAGGTTTTTGACCGGTGTGCAAAATACTGTGCTTCTGCAAATTCTGTTTCGCGGTGAATATCTTATTGCAAATTTCACATTTGAAAGGTGTTTCACCTCTGTGCGAAATACTGATGTGCCCTTTCAAACACTGTTTCGTGATGAAAAGTTTGCTGCAAACTTCACATTCGTAGGGTTTTTTACCCGTATGCAAAAAACTGTGATTGCGCAAATTTCGTTTCGTCGTGAATAGTTTGCTGCAAATGTCACATTTTAAAGGTTTCTCACCAGTGTGCGATAACATGTGCCTTTTCATACCCTGTTTCGAATTGAAACGTTTGCTGCAAATATTACATTCAAATCTTTTCTCTGGATCTTCCATTTCTCCACAAAGAAATATATTTTAATGGACATCAACATGATGCATTTTTTCTAGAAGCGAAGACAATGTGGGTTGCTGATGAAGCTGTGAGTATAATTTTTGGCAACTGCTGGCTGCATTTTATCTGTAAAAAACGAAAAACTAAAACAATATCAACTATTTCGTGAAAGTTGAACTTTTATCCAATTTCATGTTCATTGATATTTTTGTATCTGAATTTGCTAGGCTAATCACCTCGTTTTCAGGGCCACTGTGAAATAATCATTTAGGTGACTTCATTTGATGTAGCACCATCAGATATCAAGAAGAAATATTAGCGATTTTTTTCACAACGTATTCTCACTAGGGGCAGATTATTTCCGGAAATTTCCAGAAAGTTATTTGACCTCGTTTGGTATTCGTTAAGAAAATTTCACACCAGATTGTGTTTGGAACTTAAATAATTTTAGAGTTCATTTGTTCATTTGATTTGCATACAGGTTCATGAATAAATTTAGTTTGGGTCGCAGTTTCGGTACCAATAATAGATTCCTGATTTCTACCTATTGTATTTGCATGAAAATACTAGTTTAAAATGTAACATATTATATTCTTCCATTTTATATTATCTTCGGGGTACTACAAGTGAAAAGAAATTATAATTTTGTCAATTAATTTTTCATAAGTATAGGTACATACTATTTGCCGACCCCTGCTGCACACGTCATGTGTGTAGTGATAAACCTTTCTAGGAAATGAAGGCTTTATTCATCATAAAACTTACGTGAAAGTATCACAAATAATAAGACGTCAAAATGAATATAATGACATAAACTAATAACATATAAGGTGATTATCGAATATCACCACATTCTTCCTTCCATCAATAATTCATCTCATAGTCCTTCAATCTTTCTGGCAGACGACGATTTCTAGATGAACGAGGGTGAGAACTGTCTTGAAAAGTGGATGAAGAATCAGTTGTTGAGTGGGAGGCACGGCGAGAGGGAGTAGATTCATCAAGAACAAGATTCTCTCCAGTGGTAGGAGGATCTGGATATCCTTGATCAATAAGTGGATCTTCAAGATAGTCTGCGGTGGCAGGTCGCTCTTGATTTTCTTGATCAGCAAGTTGATTTCCAGATTCTTGATTATCCGATTGGTGTTGGTATGAGGTTTGGTCATTTTCATCAAGCATTGGAGGAAGTTCCGGTTGTAATTCTACTTGGCCGTTCGGAGCCAAGTGTTTAAGGGACACGGTTGTCTGCCTCCCATCTTCTAGCCTGACTCGGGCCGTTACCACCGATACAACAAGGTCTGCATGCTCCGTGGGTGACGTCACTTAGTCAGGCCTAACCAGCGGCTCGAAACGACAAGCGCTTATAGCGCTATAAGGCGACCGCGTATTTCGATTTTAGTTTTAGATCATCATTGTGCCGATTTTGCTGTTTTTTGAAGGGCTTCCGGTTAAAAAAGGATGCCAGTGGTCAACCGAGCCCTTCTTCGCACCCCATTCGATTTTATTATGGAAAAACGAAGTTTTAAAGCAAAAACCAGGATTAAACACAAATATCCACCTACAGCAACCCATTCGAATTAAATATATTGGCAAAAATTGTGGTAAAGGTAAACTTCACACCTACTTATACAGGGCCCGCAGAACATAAACTTATCGTGAGATTGATCGAAAGAAAATTGTGGAAAATGTATTTTATTTTGATTGACATGCCGTTTGTTACAATAACCTATATTTATCTTGGAGAATTACTATTACCTGAAAAAATAACCAGTGAGTGTTTTCAATTTTCTGTTGATGGATTTTTCACCCTTAAAACCGTAATTTTTAAGGGTAAAACTGCATTTATCATGCGATGGTTTTTTTTTGAAAATTTTTTTGTGTACTCACGTATTTTTGTCTGATAAACCGAATTTTATAATGAAAATGTGAACAAACCACTATTTATTGAGATACTTCAAGAAAAAGTTCGAAATTTCGCCTTCTTTCTCCCCTTGTGTTGGGGGCATTTGAAGCTACTTGCTCTCATCTTGTCATTGGACACTTTATATACTCATGATGTACTTCGATGGCACATTTTTATATAGAAAATTCAACAGGAAATATGATTTTCATGGCGAGTTTTTCATATTTAGTGAACAAGCATTCCAGATGACGACCATTTAATCAATAGTCAATCAAAATTCGAGATGTCGAATGTCAATAGATTGCTTTTGAATGACATTACACACGCCATTATTTTGAATGATATTTCCTTCTTTTCACTAAATATGGATTAATCTCAAGAAAATCATATTTATAGTCGAATTATATATGAATTGTCCAATATGATGAAAAAAGAAGGGAAATTTGTTCTAAATGCCATCCAGAAGACAGGTGAAAAAGGTGGTGAAATTTGGAACTTTTCAGTCAAATATCTTCATGATAAATATCATGATAAATGCAGATTTACCTTTTTTGAGTAGAGTGTTTGTAGTTCATGTTAATATGATAGTTGCAATTTGATCATTGGAATGAGTTCTGCATTCATTGCCACGAGGCAAATGACAGTTTTCAGAAAGAAATTTGAGAATGAGAATAAAAAATGCCCGTTTATTATGAACATTCAAGAAAATTTCCTCGAATTCAGAGATGATTTTGTTGACTATAATATACGAATACAAAACTAACTGCACAATCAAAGCTTTTTTAATTTTCCTCTACTTATACTTTTTATGAGAGAGTAATTGTCTTCTATTATTAATTCATCATTATAAATTTAGCTCTGTTTACTACTGAACTTAGATACTTAGATGGAGTAAAATCCTCGCGGTGAACTGCATATACTTACCCACATTTTCGATAGCTCCTCGTCCAACGGGAAACTAAAAGCATGAACTTTTGAACCACCCACATAATTCCCCCGACAAAAGGGAACACAACACTTGAAAGGCATTGTTATTTCGCCGATCACAACACAAAATATTTCACAAAACAGTAATTTTTCCGCCAATTATTTTGATGAATAAACAACAAAAGAGTTCGGGACCGTTTCAAAAACATACGTGAATCACCGATGAATTAACACGAACTGACGCGTTAGTCGACAAGCGATAAAATAAAACACTGGCCTCACTTGGCGACGTCACGAGCTGTTTACGTCAGAGTCTGATGGCCTTGTTGTATCGGTGGTAACGCTCGGGCGTATTGCGGATTCACTTCTAAAAGTTCCACTTCTTCTACCAGTGGGTCAAATTTACTTGATCGCACATGTTTCTTCATAAGTACTTTAGAAGAAGGAACTAACCAGGAAGGTATAGAGCAGCCATTGGTAGATCTTCGATTATGCATGAACATCCTTTCATGGGGTGTTTCGATAGTTGCTCATAATTCTCCTTTTCGAATCTCCGTGGATTTCTGATGAAGGTCAGTATGTCCGTCCACCTTAGTAATTTGATCTTCCTGTTGAAGCTTATCAGTACCAGAGATTTCGAATTTTAGCCTGCCATAACGCCTTACACTGGCCCAGGTAGTGGTAACATTCTATATAATAGATGCAGTTGGGGCCTCAACTAAAAGCCCTAAAATCATTCGTTTTCACATCAAAGATTACATGGGACTGCTTTGAAACACTCATGCAACTGGGAAAGGGCAACAAAGTCACACTTATGTGGGTTCCAGGGCATGAAGGAATCAAAGGAAATGAGGCAGCTGATCGCCTTGCAAAAAAAGGTGCAGCATCTGCACTTTTTGGTCCTGAGCCTTTTTGTGGGATAAGCAAATGTCACCTAACGGGAGAACTCAGGAAATGGGAAGAAATTGAAAAGTCCTTCTACTGGAGAACAACTCCAGGTCAACGACAAGCAAAAAGGTTCATCAATCATTCGCAGAACCGAGCCAAAGAGGTACTCAGCCTCAGCAAACCAGAGCTAAAGCTTATCACAGGCTTTCTCACAGGATACGGCCCTCTGAGGTACCACCTCAAAAAGATGGGCCTGGCGGAGACTGACACATGCCGCTTTTGTAACAATGCGACCGAAACCGCGGAACACATACTTTGCTCATGTGAAGTATTAGTCCGCCAAAGGCTGAACCACCTAGAACGGGTCTATCTCACCCCTGCTGAAGTGGAAAAGTCAACCGTCAGGGAAATCGTAGGATTCATCAGAGGCCTAGGGTTAGAGAACCAAAACTAGATAGGGGTAATAACAATAGATCTTCTAGGTCGCAGTGATCGAGAGGTCTCCCAGCCTATACGACCCATCTACAATCTACAATCTAGGGCCTCAACGGATTCTCATCCTATACATTGTTGATTTCTACCCAATTGAAGTGGCACAAAATCACTATTTTAGGACGTCAAAGTATTATATTATCATTAAAACGTCATGAAAAATTTCCGATTTCATACGCTGGTAGGTACCCACGAGAAAAAAATGTCCCCTAAAATACATACGTTGCTATGGTAATTTGTCATAAAAATCCAATTTAACTGTATAAAAATCACTGGTGTGGAATTTTCATTATAACTCACCTGCAAAGGAAACGGCAACAAAAAAATTTTGAAAAATTATTCGCCCTGTAACTTTTTTAATTCTTGTCCAATTTTTGTGAAATTTCGACCAAATCGTATATTCATGTTTCGGAGTGTTTGCCTGAATATAAGGTTCTGAAAAAAGCTGATGGCTTGATTATTATACAGGGAAAAACAAAAATTACTCTTTTACACTTAACTTCCTAACGCCCTGTGAAAAGGGTGAGTGGTTAAACTTGATTGATTGAAGTGTGATCTCTTCTCAACATAATGGTTTTTAATTCACGTTGATTCCCTTGATGGAAATTGACGTTAAAGTCATCTTAACAGGGTAAGGACAGATCATAGCTGCATTCTTTTTTAATGATCTAGATACTTTAGTTTTGTCTACTGGCATCCCTGACATTGCTGTCACGTCACATCCATGGGCGCTACAGAAAATCATTCAAAATTTCAATAATAGGTATGTACACGGTATTTACTTGTTGTGGAAGATCATATGGCGAACGAGTTTTGTAAATATGATCCGATTCTATTCAAAATTGGAAGGTATCTGAGGTTTTCCGGGGTTGGAGATAATGATTGTTTCGTCAAACTTGGAAAATTCAGGATGGGG